TTTTGCTATACTGAACAACATATTTAACGTTAGATAGTTCTATCCAACACGCTTTTAAATTGAAATAGTAAAGTTATTTCAATAAAACTACTGAAAAAAAATGCCATAAGACATAATAAAAGTTTTATTTAACATTTTTTACAGATTTTTTCTGTGATATTTTTACCTAGAATGTTAAGAGAAATTATTTAAATTATGCTCAAAATAAACTTGGTTTAAGCTAATATTGTGCATTCATAAATACATCTAGAACGGAAGTAGTTGGTTTATTGGGACGTGAACTACGTTGTGGGATTTACTACAAATCACAATATTGTATACGATTATCTATAAACAAATGCTGCAACAATTGAATTTATAATAAATTTTTATGAGTTTATTTATAGATATACTCGTCAGAAAAGAAAAATACGTATGAAGATTAAAAATGTACACAATGTACATTTATAAATTTTAATTTTTAATTTTTGTATTCTTTACTTTATCTTTATTAAACACAGTTCTTTCCAGAAATGTATTCTAATTTATAATTTTTAGTTTTATATTTTAGTGTAAAAATAACCTTGATCAAAATTATTTGTTTTAGTTAATCAAAAAACTGCACCATTTTAAGTTATGTTCAAGTATGAGGTTATTTAAGCAACTTTTTTCCATAACAATGCAAATAATTAAATAATAATTTAATAACGGTAATGTATTAAGAAATTTTGTATATGGAGACGGGTTCTGATAATTGTTAGAATGGAGAATAACAAGGAGCTTTGTCTTTTAACTAACATATAACTATGCTTTTATATTTAGAGAGTGGTCCAAACCTCGAGGACACTCCATATACATTCCTATATAGTATGTATAAGTATTAAAGTATTCTAATAGTTCTATTGTAAGAAATATACAAGAGATATTGTCATAAAAAAGTTTTTTCCGATTAATATAACTGTTTGATATTGAATTTCATAATTTTTTTAAATTTAGATAGTGAAACGTTATTAATTCTAAAAATAATAAACTTATACAAAGGTCATAAGCCGTGTGACAAATTGAAATTAAACTTCATAGTTCGTATTAAGCAATATTATGTTTTTTGACATGTTGACTCAATATATATTTTTGCTCGGGACCTCTGAAAATCAAGTTGTGATTATTGGAGACAAGTCAAGTATTAGAAGCTTTTTGAAGTAATTATCTTTATTAGTTTCTCAGGAAAGTTATAGTAAATTTTAAAATAGTAATAATACAAATAAAACCGACAAAATTATGGAAATTTAATGGTGAAAACTATCTGTTTGTCTCCTAAAAATATTTTTTTCGACAATCTTCAACTCAGAAGAATGAGCTTAGCTCTAAGTGAAAGACTAATTCCTTAAAGATTTTCCACTTTGAATTGGTGAATTAGTTATTACTATTTGTTATTATTTAATAAAGATAAAACGATTACAATAACAAAATAAAATGTATTAAACAAACATAACGATATATCACATGTATTTAAAACACAAATGGTTGTTCATCAATATTCCCGACTTTTTAATAAAACCACTAATAATTTATTTTTCCCAAAACAAAAATTTTATAATCAATTTTCATTACATTTATTTGTTTTATTATAAATTTATCCATCAAGAATATTTTTTTAATATATGTTTATTGTTGTTTTACTTTATTATTTGTATAATTCACTTTATACGTCATTGTTGGCTTTTGGCAAAAGAATTATGATATGGAAATCTAATTTTAGAGTTCAAACGTCACCAGTGTATTACTAATTAAACTATATTTGTTCTAAAAATCGAAAAATTATGTAATTTGCAGTTTGTATTAAATTGATACATTTTGTGTTAGTTATTGTTATCTACTTAGTTTTTTATATATTTCAGGTAGTAAATTACACATGTATGCAAGCATCTGTCAGTTGTCAAAAATGTATAATTTGTTTATTTATGGCAAGTTTATCTTACATACAAGTTTTATCATGTAATAATATTTAAATTTACTCAGTTTTATTACTATAGGTTTTAATTTTAAGGTCTAACAGATGACGACTGATTTTTTAGCTTTAAAAGGATTCTCATTTTAAACCGTATCTATTACACCATTTAATTAAAAAAATAAGAAACATTTGTTTTAAATTAATTAAAATAAAATAAAGTGTATAGATATATTATGTTATTGTTAGACAAGTAGCACATAAATATCATTCAAGAATTTCATCACTAACAGTGCTCAAACTGAAAAAATTGAAGTTATTTTAGTTCCTCTCTTTACAAAATAGCAGGAGTGTGCAATAGAGCAGTAGCATATCCAGAATTTTCGTCAAGGGGATTATTAATTCTTCCGATTCAAACATTTATAATTAAAATAGTAATTTATTAGTATGATTAACTTTACTAATATTTTTATTTTATCGATAAGTATTCTGAGACTGCGATAATGTAATCAGCTCATTTTTAAAAAAACGGTAACACAGTGGGGTCGCAAAACAGTGTGGTTGCGGCATAATTGGGATAAGTGAAGATGATATCTGACAGTTATTAAAATCAGTATCAAAAGAAACGCTTCGATGCAAATCTGTAGATAATGTTTAATTAAAAAAATTAATGGATTATTCTAAAAACAAAGTTAACTTCTATTTCCTTCATTATCTTATTATATAATAGAACAAGGAAAAAAACGCTTTTCTGGAATTCCTAATTAGTAGTTCTATGATTTATAAGTATAATATATGAATATTATAACATAGCATGAAATTGATATTTAATAATTTAATGTTGTAATTTTTACGGAGAAATTATAAAAATATTATAAAGTAATTGTTACTAATATGCAAACATGTATAAAAATTAAATGGCTTAATACAAAACTTATCAGACGATAATTTATTGTTAATTGTGAATAAATAAAGAAAGAAATTTTCATCAGAATCAAAATTATACTTGTTATTATATTTTTCTAAACCCAATTTCGCGCTCATTTCAAATCTGCATTTAAATTTGTTCTATAACAACTGATTTTTGATATTATTAATAATTATAATTAGTTAAAAACGAGTATTAACATATAAAAAATAACCAAAAAAATATAGGTTAAAATGAAATTCACCAACACAACAGTGGACGAAATCATAAGTGAAATTAGGCATAAAATATTTTTTAATATTAGTATATTACAGAAAACTATAGAATATAACTTTACATACTATAGATCTGAATAATTCAATTGCAATATCTATTTAAACACCAAAATTAAATTGCTTTAATTATAGGATTTTTTCCAATATTTGGTGATTATAAGATTAACATTATTAAAATCGTGGTTTTTTGACGTATTGGTCATTAAAATTGGTCAAGTGAAAGCTGAAAAAAAGAATGAGAGACACAAAAACCAGAGTAAAATATTTTAAATGAAATTCCTTCTTATTGAATGGGAGACTATAGTGATAGGTCCTCGATATTCATTGAATATTTTGATTGAATGTTATTTATTATTATTCATTTTGAATATTTTTTCACTTTAAAAAACAATTGAAAAAAATGTAAAAAAATTATTTCGACTGGCAGGGTTCGAACTTTGTTTAAAAATGTAAAATCGCTTTTTTTAACTATAAGGAGGTAAAATAATCAAAATAAGTTTAAATTGATTATTAATGTAAGTTAGATTCGTGTAACTTTTATAAAAATTGATGGATTCATTACTATGGCAAACCATTATAAGGTATTTTAAAATAATAAAATAAAAATTTGAACACAAAAATAGCATGTTTTTACTTACGACAGCCATTTGTACATAAAAGATAAGTCATCATGATAAAGTTTTTTTTTTAATTTATAGTACGTGACATATGTATATAATTTAACATATGTTTAAAAGTCGCAGTATTTACGGAACATTTTCAAAAGTTAAATTAAAAAAATTGACATTTGTGAAAAAGTTGCTACTTTAAATCTGCTCATATGGACTGGTAAAGTCAGGTTTTCAACAAATTTGTATTAAATAAAAGGGAAGTATGTAAGGTTTCTTTATAAAAAAAATTATTTTGATTTGTTTATTTTTGAAAAAGTTATAGTGGTTTAAAAAAAAAAAGATTTTCTCTATTAACAGGGAACGAGGGAAATTTTTTCAAATTTTAAGAGTAATGTCTTCAACTAGATACGTTTTGTGATCTTTTGGCGTATTGTTGAAAGAAATCAGTCCGGCGAGAGTTGAGAAAAAGTCGCAACAAACAAAAAAAAAGTACAGTAAAATTAATAGCTTTCAGCTTCGCGTCGAAGCTAAACTATTGTGAGAGGGATAAAAAAAACTTTAGCACTCGAATGTCAATTTCTTTACAAGTTTTTCTAAAGATATCAGGTTTAAAAAATTAATTAAAATTGTAAAAACCTTAAATACAATCTTGGCCCTTTTTTAGGGAGTTGATATAGATGTATTATACTTTCGGTTAAAACAGTACTGCAAATATGTTCATATAAAGTTTACAATAACCCAATGGATGTATTGAGTTTAATCATACTTTATTTAATAATTAACATCCATCCACAGTCAATATTTAAATCTATATGAACTGTTTTTTACGTTAATTACTTTAAAATTGGCATAGCGTAGGTGGTTAATTACGACAACGTTTACACGAGTGACCTTAGTGGGAGTCGCGTAGGGCGCAAGCGTCGAATGCACCGTGCAATGAACATACTGTTATATAGGCGAACTGAAGTGCAATGATTATACACGTGTACTGCGCGCCGGTACTGGCCGTTATTCTGGTGAGGAATTCTTTCCATTGTGCGTTTTCATCGAATCGATTAATATCGAACGTGATAGTTATTTGTTCAATACTGGTTTACATTTATTAATATATAAATCTATGATTAAAATATTATTATTACTGTAGAAAAACCACACGGTCCCACAATAATATCCACTTATCAGTTTTCATAATTCATATTATCACAAATAGGTCTATCACAAGTATCGAGCGTGCCATGTCGTGCCATCACTGCATCGACAACCGTCGCGACTCACTAACGCCTGACGCCGCACATTGCACTCGTGTCAATGTGTGCGTGTGTGCGTCACGTATATTTAAGCACGGGGAGTGTATATTTGTTAACGTGTGTGTATCAGTTGAGTCTGCTATCGGTAGACTGCTAGTGCCACTGCCAATTGCCGTTGACGCTACCGCAGTAGTAAAATGCTGTTTTGTCCGTCCGGTCGGTTTACTCACAGCTGAGCATTACGCGTAAAATGGCGTCGCACACCACGACGACGATCGCACATTTGGCGGCCGTCGGCGCCACCGCGGCGGGCCCTGTAGCTAACAACGTGTGGCCCAACACTAGGGATGACTATGAGTTACGTGAAGTGATCGGTAAAGTACTTCCTTAATTTGTACAATAATGATTATTAGAGCGCCTTGTTTCGTGTTATCAATTATTATTTTCTACAACTACAAAACTATACATTTTTCTCGTTTATCGTTGAAAATTAAAATTTTAAATTAATATGAAGACACTATTGCATTTTTATAGAAATTATATGAGAGTTTCAGTATAAACCTGTTAATAGTCTATTATCATTAGCCGGTTATAAATTATTTTATTTAATTACTTTGAATTTATAATGTTATTTCGAAACTCATACTACTGGTTTTTTTTTTATTTTAAAATTAATTTATAAAACTTAAAATCAGGTCAAGATGTGAAACCATTAAGAGCGAATGTGTATGTCACACTACAAAGCGACCTCAATAGAGTTATAATCATTGATCGATTTCTAATATTAGATGTCGAATTAAATATTAATTTTATAAATATATTTATATATATGTATGTATATATTTTCATATCGACATTTATCTTGCTGTAATTAGATTTTGGTTGTATTTTTAATTTTAAATTAAAATAACAAAATGATTATTATACAGTTTTCCTGATTTTCTTTTTTTTAATGAAATCTCATTTATAATAAATAAACATTAATTTGAAATGTTCAAAAAATATTATTAATAAATTGATTTTGTTAGCATTTACATAAATGCAAATACATGAAACTTAAATTTAGTAATATATTAGTTTAGCATTATTGTTAGAAATTTCCATTTTAAAAATTTGACAATCTACTCTATATAAGAATTGTATATGCTTAACAACCATCTAATCGTAAGCAGTTTATTTTCTATTTTGCCCCTATTTCATTCATGATACAATTAACATCCAATTATAAAGTGATAGTAATAAAATCTATAAAAATATTTTGTAATTTTTTTCATTCCTATATTACTTATATTTAGGTAGTCATACCTATATTACTAGTTGGTAATTGTAAAAATAAATAAGAGTGAAAATTCATTAATGTTTCGATAATCTAGAACATATATCAATTTGGCCCTCTTTTTGATGTTCTGTAGAACTAAATCATTAATATTGTGATGTAGATTGTTGAATTTTTTCCTATTAAAATTAATTTACTTTTATTTTCATTGAATATTCTGCATATGAATTTTAGTAATCCTGCATTAATGATAATGATCCTTAATACCCTTTATTGTTGAATTAATGATAGAAATTACATTTAATTAAATTAAATTAAAGAGTAATTAAAAAATAGTACTTAATCAAAAAATCTGTAAGGGACATGTTATAGTTTTTTTTATTCATAACATCTATCTATATTCATCCATAATCAGAAAAATATTCCTTAAGTAAGTTGGGTAAATTTTTCTTTGTATTTATGTTTGCTAGTGATCCTTTTTCAAAATTAATTTATGCGATTTGTACAGTTTTTTTTATAATCTTTATTAAATTAGTTAATGGGATGAATAGTATTTGTAATTATATCATACAAAAAGATTAAACTATCTTTGAAAAATTACAGGTGTTGGAGCTACTGCAACTGTTCATTGTGCTTACTGTAAACCTCGTCAAGAAAAATGTGCTATAAAAAAAATTAATTTGGAAAAATGGAATACTAGCATGGATGAGTTAACCGTAATGTTTAAAATTATAACTTTGTTTTAAAATTTTATTTTAAAAATATTTTTTTGTTTTTTAGAAAGAAATTCAAGCTATGTCATGGTGTCAGCATGAAAATGTGGTAACTTATCATACAAGTTTTGTTGTTGGAGATGAATTATGGCTTGTGTTGCGTCTTTTGGAAGGTGGATCATTGCTTGATATATTAAAACACAAAATGAGAACAAGTGATTGCCGTCATGGTGTACTTGATGAAGCAACAATTGCTACAGTTTTGAGAGAAGTGTTGAAAGGATTGGAGTATTTCCATTCTAATAGTCAAATTCATAGGTAGTAAAAAGTCAAAGTTTTACCATTGTCAAAAAGTTAATTGAATTATTTACAGGGACATAAAGGCTGGTAACATTCTTTTAGGTGAGGATGGTACAGTACAAATAGCTGATTTTGGAGTTAGTGCATGGCTAACAACAGGATACGATACTAATCGCCAGAAAGTTCGGCATACATTTGTCGGTACCCCTTGTTGGATGGCACCTGAAGTCATGGAACAGGTACACACGGTAAAAGCAAACAATTTTACTAAATTTTTGTATTTGGTTGAATACCAACACTTAAACTCGAAACCTTAAACTGTCCATCAAAATCATTTAATAGGATCATGGATACGATTTCAAAGCAGACATTTGGTCACTAGGTATTACTGCAATAGAATTAGCCACTGGTACAGCACCATATCATAAATATCCACCAATGAAAGTCTTGATGTTGACTTTGCAGAATGATCCACCAACATTGGATACAGGTGCTGATCATAAAGATCAGTATAAAGCATATGGAAAGACATTTCGAAAACTTATTACTGATTGTTTACAAAAAGATCCAACAAAAAGGTAGTTGAATTATAATTTAAATTTGGCTCAGCAATAATTGTACTTTATTATAGACCAACAGCCACTGAACTATTAAAACATCCAATTTTTAAAAAAGCAAAAGATAAAAAATACTTGCAATCCACTCTTATAGCTATTGGCCCAAGTTTAGAAACAAGAGTTCAAAAGGTAATATATTAAAATCTAAAATGTTTAAAATAACTTTAGATTTATGATATCTTAACACTAAATTATTAATTCATAATTTTTTTTGCATTGATGTGAATTTGAGAAGGTATTAATTTTACTATTGTTTTTTTTTGTCTCCACATTTTCTCAATTCTCATAGGACCAATTTCTTTCAATGATACGTCAAAAGATCAAATATAGTATCTAGTTGAAGAAATTGCCCTTAAAAATTGGAAAAATTTCCTTCGTTTATACTTTCTCTAAATGGAGAAAGTAAAAGCAAAAAATTACAATTTTTAAAATAGGTAAATTTAAAATTTATTTTTTCTTAAAACTGCCATAACTTTTTAAAAACGAATAAATCAAAATAATTTTTTTTTTATATAGATATGTTAGATATTTTTCTTTCATTGGATATAATATTTTTGAAAATCTGAC